GCGTCGAGAAGAGGACAGAGGGGGAAGGAAGGGGGAGATCAGTAAGGGGAGAGGGGCAAAGCAAGATTGGAGGACTGAGAGAGAGAGAGAGAGAAAAAGCAGGCAGGCACAGGCCAGGGGAGGGGAGACAGTGCGAGGGCGCCGGAAGAGGAGGGCGACAGGAAATCCACCACCGCACGCACTCTGAATGTCGATGTCGCTGGTGGAAATGCTGGCCGCCATGGGGCCGGAAGAGTCGGCCCCGGTCGCGGCCGCGGCCGCGGCGGTCTTCTTGCCCACCTCGGCCACCGTGTGCGAAATGGAGGACATGATGCGGTCGACAACCGACGCGTCGAAGACATTGTCCCACAGGCCGTCCGTGCCGAGGACAATCACATCGCCCGGGCGCGGGTCCAGCAGGGCGGTGGCGCGAGCGACACCCGCCGCCGGCGAGGACCCGCCGCCACCGCCAGCAGCAGCGGACCAGCTGGCCGGCCGGCCGTCCGGCTCGCCCAGGCGGTACAGATCCGGCTCGTGGTACGCATCGGCCTGGAGCTGGGCCGGGCAGTTGAACCCGAGCAGCTGGTCCTGCGTGCGCAGGAGAACCAGCGCCGACATCGGGGCACTGCCGCCGCCGCCGCCGGCGCCCCCGGCAGAGGAGGAGGATCCCCCCTTGCCGGCGGCGGAGTCCCCGATGGTGGTGCCCATGGCCGAGGTCACCTTGGCCGGGGCCCCCATGCCGAAGGAGAAGGGCGACATGGGGAAGGCCGAGGCCGGGTTGGCCACCCGGTCACCGGACCCGATGAAGTCCCCCCGGTCGCCGGGGCCGCCGGCAGCAGCGCCGCCGGCACCGAACCACACCTCCCCGGACTTGAGGGCGCTATCCCAGCGGGTGAGGCCGGACCCGGGCGAGGTGGCCAGGTGGGGGAGGCCGCCGACCCGGGCGGAGGCCGCCGCCGCCGGGGTCAGAACATGCCGGTGGGCCAGCTCGGCCGCGGCCGAAATCTCCTCCTCCGTGGGGAAGGGCCGGATGATCATGGCCCCGCTGTCGCCGAGATTGCCGACCTCCAGGATCCAGGTGACCGAGGCGCCGGCGGCCGCGGCCGCCGCGGCCGCCTGCTGCTGCGCGCTGCTGCCGGCCGATCCCATGCCCCCCAGGGGCAGCCCCAGCTCGTGGTTGATGTCCACCGAGTCCGAGGAGCTAGGCAGGGCCGTGGACCCGGGGGACGAGGAGGCGGAGGGCCCGCTGCCGCCGCCACCGGAGCGGCCATGGCCGAGGAGCCCGGCCTGCGCCGCCCGCTCGGCGGCCACCTCCACCGGGGTCGGACGCAGGACCGCCACGCAGGCGGTCGCGCTGCCGGGCACATTGTGGCCGATGGCCTGCCACGACCGGCGGATGATGGCCGATGGCGCGTGGTCGCAGATGGCCGCGAAGGCGCCGGTGGCGCTGCCGGGCCCCGGGCCACGGAGCTGGGCCCCGGCGTAGGCCGCGTCCCCGGCCCCGCCGTCATGCAGCAGCGGCTCATCCTCGTCATTGTCCGAGCCGGCCGGCGTCAGCAGACCGGAGGACACCCGGGTGCCGAGGCTGCCGGAGGACGCGGCCCCGCTGGCGGCCGGCCCCCGGCCGGGGACCACCCCGCCATCCAGCCCGGCCAGGTAGGCCTCGCAGGCGGCGCGCTCATGCGCCGACAGGCGATCCGAGAACTCGGACGAGTAGTGCATCAGCAGGCGCGAGTAGAAGGCACTGCTGATGCCGTAGGAGGACCAGCCACCGACACCGTCGCTGACACCGGCCACATGCCACTGGCCGCCCGGGTAGGCCGGCCCGGCGGGGGGGGTGGCGGCGTCGTCGCCCGGGGACCGCCCCCCGGCCGGGCCGCCGCCATCGCCGCCGGTCGCCGAGGCGGTGGAGAAGGCAAACAGCGCGTCCTCCCCGAACTGGGAGCTCGCCGTGAAGGGCTTGCCGTCGGCCGAGGTCTGCCGCAGCAGGCCGGTCTCCAGGTCCGCATGCAGGCGCACATTGAAGGCGTGCGCCGCCACGGCCAGCAGGTGCGATTCCCGGGGGGTGGCCTCGTGCGGGGCCACCGTGGCATGCGACATCCCGGCGAAGGCGGTCCGCATGCGCAGGCTGTTGGACCGCGTGGCCCGGTTGATGGGCCCGCCGGAGGGCGGAGCCGGCGACCCGATGCCAAGCCCGGTCGTCGGCAGGGTGCTGTCCACGGCCGCCCCCCCGGCCAGCGGGTGCGGCGTCTGGTGCGGGGAGGTGGCCTCGGCGGCCCCGGACTCCGGCATGTCGGACCCGGCGGCGGTCGCCCCGATGCCGGTGGCGTCCGACGCCCCGGCCGACGACGAGGCGGCGCTCGTCGAGAACCTGGCCAGCTGCCCGAGCCCGCCGAAGAACGGGCCATTCGGGCTGGTCGCCACGCCGAGGGCGCCATGCGACCCGGCGAACAGCGACCGAGTCACGGTGCCGGAGGAGGCGGCCACCGCGGCCGCGGCCGCCATCGAGGGGGAGGTGCTCACAAGGGCGCGGAGCATAGATGCCGCTGCGGGGGAGGGGGGG